CTTGGGCTGCTGGGGACAGCACATCCCCACTGCCTTGGGAGCTCTGACTGCGCTGCCTCAATTAAAATCAGCATCCCTCCCACCCCTCTGTGTCTCTGACAGCCCAGGGGGCTCCTGGGCCCAGCCCAAACCCATAAATCACGGCAGGAAGGCCTGGAGGAAACATGAGGAGCTTTTATTAGCCCAGCTGATAGAGACAGAAACAAGGACACGGCTCAGAGAAGACACCGCTCTTGTCTCACGAGGACCCGAGCCCACACACTTGTCAGGTTTGGGCTGGATTTTTGGGGGTACTTTTCCCCCCACCATTTGGGCTAAAATAAAGGCATTAACTAGCCTGCAAAAGCTATAGCTCACCACCTTTACACCCCCACCCAGATGCCTGCGTTAAATGCAGAATAAAAAGCCTGGGGGCAGCAGGGGGAAGGATCTTTCAATGGGAAGGCAGTGGAAGGCCTGCCCAGAGGATCCCCGCCTCAATCCCAGCCCAAGGGGATGCCAGCACTCCCTTCATGCCTGGGCTGTCACTGAGTAATTGAAGGTGGTAATGGGAATGGATGAACGGGGGGAGAAAACACACGTGGAGATAGCTGCATACATTGCACCCTGCTGGATGCAGGGAAGGGGTGAATGGAGGCAGAAGCCACACGTGTGATAACCGCATGCATTGCTGGATTTAGACCCAGTTTGGAGAGGCTCGGGAAATTGAGGATTTCTTCCACTTCCATCCTTCTCAGCAGAGCATTTTTGCCCGTGGCTGAGCGGGCTGGTCCCAACAGAGGGCACTGACACACTGACCACGGACCAGCCTTCCCAGAGCCACCTCCTGCTCCCTCCTGCACTGCCCACGATCCAGCTCTCCATCGCGGCCCTGGCAGGGGCTGCCACGGCCCCGGCCAGCCCGAATCCATGGGGCCAGGACGGGAAGGGAACATCATCCCCCAGCTCTGCAAAGCCGCTTCCTCGCCGCCGGTGCCGAGGAGTGATGGTGGGGAAAAAAAAAAAAAAGCTGGGAGGGGGTGGGAAATGGGGGCCCTCACTTTTTCAGGCTGTTAACTGTAATTAGCCTGGTTTCTGCGATGTAATTATCCCGCAATCTCAAAGCAAACACCCTGGAGGAAATTGCACAGTTAAAGGCAGCACGGCATTAAAAATAAATTATGAGAGTCCTGCTCGCTACTCCTGCGGATCTGACAGCGTTTTCCCTCAAAAAGCCCCGGCTTGGGGGAGCTGGAATCACCCAGCTGTGACTCTCCCTGCCAAGCTGTCTGCCGAGACAGAGGACACGTCAGAATCCCGAACACTCCCCTGCCAGCTCGGGAGATGTTTGTCACAGCCCAATTACAGCGTGGCTGCACCTCGGGGGAGGGGAGGCTGCTTTGTTTGGGGTTTTTTCCCAGAGGAATTAAATTCTGCCGGCTTTTTAATACAGCGCACGAAGAAAGCGCGCAAGGTGTTTGGAAACAAGTCAGCTCCTTACGGATCACAATATTCCTGCCTCTGGCACAGGGAGCCTCCTCTGCACTGCCCTTTCTGCTGCTGCCTGAGCGATTCCCGTAAGGAGGACTGTGCTTTATCCCGAATTTCTGTCCCGGGAGGTGGAGGAAGGCAAGCAGTGCAAGAGTTGGAGGCTCATGGCTTCTCCTTTGCACAGAGCTTTGCTCAGCCCCCAGCTCCGTGAGGCGGGAAGGCGGGAAGGCGGAAGGCGGGAAGGCGGGAAGGAAGTCCGAGCTCCTCACACAGCTCTGTAGAATGTGATAAAGCCACCAGAGGAGACTCAAAGCTTTCTGTGGGCTTATTTGTAATTTTGGAGTGTCTTTTCCACTCTTCCTCTAAGATGGCATCAGCCCAGCCTCAGCCATACACTTAAAGCCACCAGAAGGCTTCCCAATGTCATCCCGAAGTGCCTCCCTCATGGCACTCCTCTGCCATGACAAGTCCCTTCAGACGACAAGGAGGTGTCCCTAAGGGAGGATCTGCTGCTGTGTCACATCCCAGGAAGGAAGCAGTAAAGCAGCACCTCAGTGACTTTAAAAGCTGTAGGAGACACTCAAACACCTTCTGGACACCTGCAGAGAGCTGGGATGTGGCACCATCTCCAGACCTTCATGTTCATCACCACTCACTCCTTGGTTCATTCTGCCATGAGCTGAGGGATCCCAGGAACGTTCTGAGCCCCTGGGAAGACGCTTTCTCTACAAGAGATGACCCAAAAAAAGACCAGCACTGTGCTTCTCATCAGAAAAACAGCTCCCTTCAGAGTCCTGCAAATGTGCTTCTCCAGAGCAGCCCCTTGCTACCCTGGGCTGTGGGTAATTAGTGGGTGCTCCTGGAGAACAGACCCAACCAAGCCCCACTTAGTTAAACCCCTAATACCGCTTAAAGAATGAGTCAATCCCACTGACTCTGCACTCCACAGATCCAGTCACTCACAGGATGCAAAGAACACGTCTGGAGAGCCCATTAAAAGCCACTCGACTGGAAAATAGTTTCTGGCCTAATTCTAGCGCTGGGGTCTTGGTCGGGGGGAGAAATCTGACAGCGAGAGCGTGTCTGCGGGGAGGACGAGGCAGAGCTGTTAACTACTTCACCAATCTAATGGATAGCACTCTCCAACAGTAATTAATAATTAATATTCGTAGCCTGCTTAAATCTGTTGACTCTGTAAACCACAGCCTCTCACTTAAAGGCCTCTCATCATGCTGAGACAAACTGGAGAACAACCCCCGCAGAGAGACTCGGCATAAACAAGAGCAGCAGCAATTCCCAGCTACCCAGGGCTCAGTCCCTCTCCCTGTCCCATCTTTATCTTGCTGAGTTCAGCATCGTTCCTTAGCAGTGTCTCTGCCCTGGGTGGGACACTGAAGTCACCAAGTCCAACCTCCTTCAGAGGGTCAGGTTTTCCTGGGCCGTGGGCCCTGTCTTGCCTGCCCCAGGACCCTCAGGACAGCAGTGGAGGGTCCCCAAATGCAGACAAAAATCCTCAGTGGTCTTTTCTCCTTTTGAGCACTGGGGATTGATTTGAAGGGTAATAAATTTAATTAATATCTCCCACCTGAGCCTGGTTTGCCCATGATGGCAACTGGTGAGCAATCTCTCCCTGTCCTTATCTCAACCCACAAGCCTTTTCATTATATTTTCTCTCAGGAGGGCAGTGGTAGTGGTGTAGAGGCCTTGGGAGCAGCCTGTTGTCCAGCCAGGGGCACAAGTTCACCCCACCCCAAGATAAATCTGATAATCTTTAGAAGGATCTATTGAATTCAGGAGTTGGACTCCTTGCACCAAAGATCAGTTTGAGCTTTCTGGAGGCTGAAGTGCATCAGCAGAGCACTGCAGTTTGCTGCCTTTCCTCCAACCATTCCTCCTTCCTATGGATCCACTGCAGATATTACTCACAGCTTCCCTCTTTTCCCCACTTCCCATCATTGTCACCAGCCTAACGAGAGTTTCGGCCACCAGGAGACGGCTGATGTCCTGGCCCCGTGGCCATGGTGTGTGTGGGATTGGCTTGTGGGAGTTAATGGCACCCAGGGAGCTGAAATCCAGCTGGGAGGTGTCAGAACCCACGGTAGGTCACACACAAGGGAAGGTGGGACAGGGCAGGACAGGTTTGCTGGATGGCAACCACAGCTCCCAAGAACAACGTCACAAACCTGAAGAACTTGAAGGGCTGGACCAAGAGTTTGTGGATCTGGCCTGTGGGATCACCCAAACCAACCTAACTTTGTGTCTGTAGCATCAGCTCCAGTGGCAATGTGACTTCCACAGGAATCACCTTTTCTTTTGACTTTGCTCAAAATTGAAAGACAACACTTAATAATTTTAAATCTCAAGTTTTGGGGTAATTGGATATACACAGATGACTTTTTTGTAGCTGATTTGGGTCATTCATTCTGTGTGTCTGTTACTACTCCTGCTGTATTCCAGGTTTGTGAGAACACAAGAAATTCCTTTTTCCTGATAAAGAACATTATCCCATCATCTGCATTACAAATTGTCTTTTATCATAGCTATGATTTAATCTGATAATAAACTTCTAAGACTCAGGCAATAGTTTCACTCACCAAGTCACATTTGATACTTTACTTCCCATGGAAACTTGAAATTCTGTTCAGTTCCTTTAATCAGTATTCAACAAATACAATCCCATTGAAATTTGTTTTTCTTTCCAAAGGGTAATGCAAAAAGGCCTCCTCGCTAGCATTCAGATATGAGCACACCTAAAAATACCTAATATCAGGAAACAATTATACTTCTTCACTTGAATTAATAATTTGCATTTAGAAAGGAGGAAAATATGCCCATAAATAATTTTTCCCCAGCTTCCTATAAAAAACAAGGACAATCAATGTGAATCTGTAGTTAAAAGTACCAAGAACGTGGTTGTCCTGCAAAGATGTAAATTGGTTTTAAACACTGAGAAGCCAGACCTTGGGAGAATGGGAAAATTTTTGCACTCTGGTGCAAAACCCCAATGTTTTGGGGGAAAAAAACCCAAAAAACCCACCCTTTTTTCTGGCTTGTGTACATTCTTTTATATTCCAAGCCAGTAGTCCTTCCCTCTGGAATCTCCTAGGGAGCTAGAGAGTTCTGGTTTCCCCAAGGTTTCCAAAAGCAGAAGGAAAATAGGAAAATAATGAAATATTTTTCTCTTATTTCCTTTTTCTTAAAAAGAGGAAAACAATCATTTGGGTTTGAATGAAACCTAATACTCAGCTTAAGTAATTTTTTTTTTATTTGGTCCCTGAGCCTGTCAAGACTTTGGTGAGATTTCCAGAGAAATGGATGTGGGATTTGAAATATAAAGTTCAACATTTTCCTTAGGAAAGCTGAACAGACAGCACTGAGGTAAAGCAGGATTTTTGGGGGAGTACAATCTCCCTCCCACACCCCACCCCTGAAATGAGGGAAATCTGAATGAATTTCCAAAGGTTTCAGTGTTGCCAAATGCTGGGACAGACGGCACATCAAAAATATTTTTATGGAAAAACAGAGCCTACCTATCTGTCTTTTGTTTATCAAAGGAGACGTGGTGGTTCCAGAATTTCTGCCACCTGGTTCCCACCAGGGCCGCTCATCACTGGACTCCCAGTAGCTGAGGGCTGCCAGCTGAATTCCAGCCTTCCTCTTCATCCACAGATCCTCGTCAACGGAGCAAAGGCACCTCTTCAGGTCCAAGCCAGATGGATTGAAGGGAGAGGTCTCAGACTGTGCTGCCAGGAATGGAGCTAAGACACCCCAAACATGTGGGAAAACAGTGTTTTTCCTCTAATTTCTACTGATATTCCATGAGCAGCATCCCTGAGCACAGCACTCTGACACCAGCATCCCTCCCACCAATTCTCCCTGTTATCTCCATTCCCCCTTCTCCCCCTCAGGTTCAACCCTAATATCCCAACAACATCCACAGTAGGAAACATGGAGCGTGGGAGGTTGGAGAGCACAAAAGCAGCCCCAGCAGCTCTGGACATTCTGCTAATGACTGGGATAATGGTGGCATTCCTGTTAGGACCTGTGGAGGTGACATGACAAACACCACTCACAATTGTTGTAGAATGTGCAGAAGGCGATTTGGAATAATAAATGTTTTGAATGTAGAGCATGAAAAAATGAGCCCCTTGGTAGCTGGATCTCTCCTCCTGTGGTGTTCCAGGGCCCTCCTGGGATGTTGCAGTGTCTGGAGCAAGATCTCAGGTGGTGATGCTCCAGTTGAACCACCCCAAGTCCCTCCCGCCGTGTGCTGGGTCCTCTGCTTGCAAGGATCCTGCCGGAATTCTGTCCAAAACAGAACAACACAGGCCAGCCCAGGCTCCTGAGAAGAGAAGGAAGAAGAGAAGTCCACGTTCATGGAATCACTAGGGCTGGAAAAGACCCCCAAGATCACCAATGTTCCTTTATTCACCCCCAGAAATCGGGCACCCAAGGGTTGTTCTGGAAGCGGTCTTCCCTCCACCCTGCATCCAGCAGGACGCATGTTCTCTGCCTGGCCACGTGTCCAGCCCCCACATTCCATGGAGCTGCTGCTGGGCAGGGTCAGCTGGTGGTGCTGGAATGAGGCTGGATCCCCACACACACAGGGATCACTCCTTCACTCCTCCACACATCAGCACCTGAGGGACAACGTGAGTCACGGGCAGCAGCAGGAGATGGGAGGCCAGGAAAGCCATCAAAGGGAGTAGGAGGAGGGGTCCAGAGGATGAGCAAAGGGGTCGAGGAAAGCCAAGGAAAAGGAGAGGGTGCCTGGGAGGCTCTCATTTGAAAGCTGAAGGCTTCCTGCCAAAGCAAACAGTTGGACATGGAGGGCTCTCCATGGCTCTGGTTCACTTGGACCATCTGGCATTTATTGAAATTGCCTCCCTTTGTGTTTGCTCCGATGGAGTGGGTTTGTATTCCTGCTTTCTCTCCCTCCTTTCTCCTCTCCCAGGCCAACACGTCGCTGCTGTCCCGCCTTTCATCTCACACGTCCTCACAACAGCTATTGAACAAAGAACCCCACTGCGGGGAATGAATCCCAGCAGAAACCAGGGATGGGGGGGAAATGCCTGCACATGGACAGCCCCATGCATGGCCTTGCTACCCCTTGTCTTACACACTTCCACTGCTTCCCTTGGCCCTCAGTCTGGGAAGGCAACAGACTGAGAGGAAAGATGGAAAGAGAAATCAGAGCAGAAGTTAAACGGGAGAACAGAAAAGCAGGGAGAAAAAAATCCTTCCAAAAGGTGCAATTGCAAAGTGATGACAGGCTGGTGGAAGGGAATTAGCAGAGAGGAGGGCTCTGTTCACCTCCTCCCCTCCCTGCTCTGCTGTGTGATCAGAAAGAAGCCAAAAGAGCCGTTTTGTTGGGAACTTTGGCATCCGCCGCTCTCCCGCAACGAGGGCGAGAGACTGAAATAATCAACATTTTCTGCAGCACAGAAATGCAAACACTCAAATTCACATCTCAACTGACAGTTTCAGTCAAAATACATCCCCCTGACGCTCTTCAGCTAGAAAAGATTCACAGACTCGTTTCATGGCAGAGCGTGCAGTCCCAGGCCACATTACACAGCCATGCTGCCAGAGTTTGGATTTCCTGTAAGTCAGCAAGAAGCCTCTGAGGCTTGGGATGCACTTCTAAGCCTATTGCTCGGAGGAGCCTTTCCAGTGGTTTTTCAGGAAGCTTGTCCCAGTGGAAAAAGAAAAAAAAAAAAAAAGCAGCAAAGAACACAAGCACGAGGGTGGGGAGAGGTTTCCTTTTCCCTGCTCAGCCTCTGGATGCTCCAGAGCTGGGACATCATTCAGCACAAGACCCCTTCCAGCAAATTCCTGCCCCTGTTGCTCTGTGCTCTGCTGCCATGCCCCTGCTGGGAGGACCGTGAGGACTCCAAGGACTGCAGAGCGGAGCTCGGTGCCTCTGCTGGCACAAATTAGTGGAGCTGGAACTTTAGATCAGTGACAGAGCCTTTTCCTCCTGGGAGCAGTAAATTGTGATGCCGGTCCCTAAAGACCCTCCTTGCCATTAAGTGATTAATGAATTCATTAACACCTCTAGGAACACGGGAAATATGACACGGACAGCCTGCCTAGGCTTTGTAAAGTATTTTTCCTAAGGAACAGGAGAGAAGAGTGGCTAATTAAGCTATATGGCCCATGGCAGCACTACTACATTTATCCAGAGGGGATGAGCAGAGGGATGAGATTCTGTCTCCTGCTCCTGACCAGCTTTTATTTGACCCATAACGAGATGCTAAAATCAAGGGTTTATTGCTATTATAAACCTTTCATTTGAAGGGGGGAGGGAGAAGGCTTTTTACTGTAATGGCTTTAATGACTTTCCCAGAGTTCCCAGTCCAGAGCTGGAATGGTCCCAGGGTATCTGGAGGTAAGGAGAGGGGAAGGAATTGCACAATGGCCTCTTCAAATCCTACAGAGAGACTTAATTCTTGCCCTAAAGCCACGGTCACATGCTCCAGCCCATTTCCCTGACAGTTTTATTTACCAACTGTAACATAACCAACAGACCAAACACTTGGGATGAAGTGTGAGCCAGGCTCGGGCTGTGACACCTGCACTAAATTACAGCGCGGGATCGCCTCCCGCCGTCCCTCTGCAGGACACTCCTGCTGCTCCCACGGCTCCAGAGGGGAGCCAGTCCATGGAATGGCAGGGCCACTGCCCCACCTGTGCCTTGGATCGGTGTCCCAGGTCTGGCCTCCTGGGAAGCCTGGTTGAAGAATTCCATCAGAGCCCCATGGGCAGACAGGCAGGGTTAGCTCGGGAAGGGATGCCCACATTCCCTACTTTGAAGGGATAAATAACTGCTATTTGCAGCTCCTTCATCCTGGGCTTCTTTGTCCCTATGTCCCATATTCCACAGTATCCCACAATGGTTTGGGCTGGAAGGGACCTTAGAGCTCATCCAGTCCCACCCCCTGCCACGAGCAAGGACACCCTCCACTGTCCCAGAGTGCTCCAAGCCCCATCCAAGCTGGCCTTGGACACTTCCAGGGGGAAGTGGGGCAACCACAGCTTCCCTGGGTATTTTCTGTATTGTTACAGACAACGTTGGGTTCATCTCTGCAGCCACCAATGACTGCAGGAATTCCTTTCCATAACACAAGTGGGACAACTTTCTTTCAGCCCACAATGGCACAGAGAGTTGAGACTTGTGCCTTCCCCAGTTCCTGGGAGCCCGAGCTTGGGCTTCTTCACTTCCAGAACAAGCTGAGGGAGATCCACAGCAATCCAAGGGGACAAGAGATTTTACAAAGTACAAAGCACTTTTACCATTTGAAGGCAGTGGAGTGGCCGGGAGCCACCAGGATTTCCTGCAGGTGTGGAGGCTTCAGGAAATTTGAAAATTGGGAAGAATCAGGCTGGAAAGACAACTCCATTTTAAAGACAGTAAATTGGAGAGAGCTCAGAGAAAGCCCCTACGAAGATGAAAGGACAGCAGGTATTGATTTATGTAGGAAGATCAAAAGAGCTATATTTGTATATAGTAGTTTAGCTAAGTGATGACTAAGTGTTTAACGGGAAGGGCTTGAAGGACACAAACCCAGAGAGGGTTTATGCAGTGAAGGAGCTGAACAGGAGCAGTAGGGTGGGAGAAAAGAATGGGAAAAGAGGCAGATCCCAGCTGCCTGCAGATGTTTTTTTGGCAGAAGGATGTGAGCAGCCCTGCTGACACCCAGTCCCAAGGCACACATGGCAAACCAGTGTCCCAAAGCTTTCCAAACCCCACCCTGCACTGCTTCCCAAAGCTTTCCAAACCCCACCCTGCACATCCCTCACTGCAAGTCCACCTCCAGTCAGCTCATGCCATGCCACAGCATCCAGGAGCAAGGGAAGGTCCTTGAGGGGGCCCAGGTGCCCTCACAGCCCACACAGAAGGTGACACCAGGGTGACTGAACCCCAGTGCTGGGAGCCCTGTGATTCCCCTAACTCACACAATACCTCAGGACAGAAACAGAAACAACTCTACATCTCAAATCCACTTCTGAGGACCCCACTGTCTTTCTCCATCCACTCCAAGGCCTAAAGAATGCAGTCTTTGAACTTACTTAAATATGACTGAAGCTATTGGTTCTTTCCTGGAAACAGTGTTTGAAAAGATTAACCTGAGAATGGCACAGGACCTAATCCATCTGCAGGCTCTGGTGACATCCCTGATTGCAGGGGATCTGCTCCATTCTGTTCCACCTCTGCTGAGTTTCTCAGGATTTGCAGGGAGAGGGATGGGACCACAGCCAGAATAGCAAAAAAACTCTTCTGTTCCTCAAGGTAATTCAGGCCCAGGTGAGAAAAAATCATTTAAAGTGACTGTAATGAGTGACTTACCCCCAGCCTCCCTCTGTGGGCCTGGTTTGGCACGTGTCTCCCTTGTGCTTCCAAGAGCAGAGCCAGGAGCATTTCAGAGGCTGACACCTTGGAAATCCTCCACGGAGAAGAATCCTGAGTGCACAGGATGGTAACACAGAGTAACCATCCTGGGTTGTGCAGGGCTGCACAGGGAAGGATCTGGAGGCCACAGGCCTCATTAAACAGCTGAATTTTTAAGTTACCTCATAGTCTGGAATCTGCTTACTCTGCTAAAGGCTGAGCTGCCCACCTGAGAAATGCCAATCCAGCCCTCTAGAGAAGAGATGCAGAAGGGAAAGGGGAAGACAAGCAGGACAGAGAGAATCTGATTAGAGAGCTTGATTGAATCACTCTGTCATTACCTAGGACACCCAGAAAATTTTATGGCCTCACTTCACAGCCTGAAAATACCCAGAAAGAATCTTTTGCTCCAGAATCTGGAGGGACATCCAGGTAGTTTAGATCAATTCCAGTGCTCTGCTCTCTGTCCACATCATTCAGCATTTTATCTACCATTTGCTGGAGTGATTCTCTTTGCTGGGAATGTTTATAGACAGCAGAAAGAGAGGTCACAAGTAAGTAACGATGAGAACAGAGCAGGTCACAGTGTGGGTTAAATGAGCCCACGTACAAGGGGCAGGATTCATGGCCCCTTACAGAGCCACTAAATACATTTTTCTCACCTTTCCCTATCAAGTGTCAACAAGATCTACCCCAATCGAGGGCCCCTTGATCCGTGTGGCCAAGCAGGGATTCAGGAGGATAAACATCCACACGTGGTTGGAAAGGGTGACAACACACGGGCTGTTCTGCTCAGCCAGACACAGTCACTTGACCACAAGCTGCTCACCCCCTCATCACTGCTGAGGTACATCACTGTGGAAAAATATAGTCTGATGCAAGCCAGTGCAAGATAACACCTCTGGGAACCAGGAATGCAAATGACAGCTACTTCCAATGTGAGAGATTA